AAATCTCTGAAACCCAGAAAAAACAATGAGGAAAAATGATTCCAAAGACTCCTCTGTGTTTTTGAATAAATAGTTCCTTTCCAGATCTGCAGTACTGGAATCTGCCCAATATTTAGAAAGGAGAGTGAATCACTGCTAAATCCAGTTGTTTCCATGCCTTTTTTTTTTTTTTTGTATATAAATGCTGCTAGGCGTTGGTGTCTGCTCTAGAGTTGCATTCACTGTAGCAACTTCTAGTTGGTGTGTTCCTCTGTCACCATTTTTTCCTGCTAGATTTACAGCCTATGAGTTTGTGAAGTGCCCCCTCTGCCCAAAGGCCCTTCTGTCCATAAACCCCATTCTGTGGTAACCATCTAGTGTAATCCAAGTGTAATTGTGCAGTTTTATGTTTGAATGGCTTACTTCACTCAGCAGTATGTCCTCTGCTTTATCTATATTATAGCATATGACTTTTTTCCTTTATTTAAGGCTAACTAGTGATTTATTATATCTGTGTATTATGCTTTCTTTATCCATTCGTCATTGTACTTGAATTGCTTCTACTTCACCAGCTTTCTACCTACCCTTTAAGCATCATGGGCCAATTCAGATGCCATCACTTTCATGGTCTCCATCATCATTCAAACAAGAGGAATTATTCTTTCCTCTCAACTGTTACTTTATTTGTATCCTTCATAGTAAAATGTGTACATTTCTACCTTGCAAGTAAACCACTTTCTACCATGGAAGGTCCTATAGGACAAATCCCTGGCTAATTTGTCTTTGTTCATTAATTCTTCCAGATACATGATTTCACTGTCTTTGGCTTCAGTTATCCATAAATTAAAATATTAAATGGAAAATCATAAAAGTAGAAAATTCATAAGTTTTATTAGTTTACAGTGCATAATGTTAACATTCCTTGTGTGGAGTTGATACATGTGTATAATACTTTTAATTCCATCATCCCTTATCTCCCTTCTCTCTTCTTTACTGTTCTGAAGAGAATGAAGAAATCTGTCACTATCACACCTAGCATGTGCCTCATCTCTTTGTCCAGTGTGTCCATACTGTATAAGCTACCTGCCTATTGCCAGTTGAGAGACAGGCCACATTCATATAACTTACAATATACTGTTATAATTATTCTATTTCATTATTAGTTGTTAATCTCTTACTGTACCTAATCTATAAGCATTATCATAGGTAAAGGTGGAAAGAGTAGTGTATATATAGTGGTCAGTAGCACCTGAGACTTCAGTCATCCTCTGAGGGTCTTAGAATGTAAGATTATCAGATGGAGAAGATGATATACTGTCAACTTACCAGTATCAGGAAACTAGTAAACTGGTCAGTTTAAGTGAAAAGGGGTTATGCAATTTTCTTTATTATAGTAAAAATTCAGTTGAATGATTACAACATGAAATTTGCTGTTTTGAATGTGAAGTTGTGTGGCATTTAGTATACTTATATTGTGCTATAGATTATATTTTTAATTGAGCTTTTGACTTCTATTAATGGGACCATAAAAATGGGATCAGCATACTTGTTTTAGAAGGAACTCCAGGGTATGAATTTGTGTAAGAAAAAGGTAATGTTTCTGAAGTGGGGTTTTGTGACTCAGTAGAATATCACACCAACTTGTCTTTTTAAAAAATTTCCTGTAGGGGCCGGGGAGATGGCTCAGTAGAATAAGCGCTTCCCTGCAAGCGCAAGGGTCTGAGTTCAATCCCCGGTTCTGCCAAATTAAAAAAAAAAAAAAAAAAATTCCTGTATTTTGTGAAGTGTGCTACCTCATCCTCCCTGTTTCCTTGTCTTCATTTCTTTAGAGATATTCTCTGCAAATCAGTGTTAATTTCTTCCATATTCATGTTCTTTTCAAACTTGCTACCATAGCTTAGGTGTATATTTTTGGATTACAACCATTTAACAGATCCCCCCTATAGTAAAAGTTGTGAATAATTTGGAGTCACACAGCAGAGTGGAAAAGGGAAATGATGCATCATAATGCTAATCTCTGTGTCTCGGCAGACTAACGTTAACATGAATTTTTAGCTCTTCAGGATGAAAAGTAGCTTCAGCATTCACATTCATCTTTAATAAATGTCAAGCATTTAAACACTTAGTATATGTTATGGAAGAGCTTTTTCAGAATTTTCTAAAGGTTTATACAGGAAATTCATATCCTTTCAAGGAGAACATTAAATAAAATGATTTCCAACTGAAAGTGGTAGAAAAATAACAGAAGTATTGTCTAAATGGCCCCTAATTTATGCAGATTCAGCTTGTAATTTTTCAGCTTTACCATGGTACGGAAACAATACACATTAGTAGAAACCACACCTGGCATTTTGGTCTTTTCCTAGGCTGCTGACACCTGGTGTAGCATTCTTTGGTGATGCTGGGCAGTGGCCTTGGGCCAGCTCAAGGCAGTCATGTGATGAGGAGGGTAAGCTGTCATATAGTGTGTTGTGTCGCTAAACTGTGCTGTTCTATAGGTTAAGTGTATTAAATGCATTTTGACATACTTATTTTAGGGTGGATTTATTGGGATATAACCTCATCATAAGTCAAGGGATATGTGAATTACAGGTTTGTTTCACTCCATATGACTTTTTTGTGATTAACTTTCTGTTTTCATTGTTCCTTGGTAGAGTTTCCTCATAGCCATGAGTATAGAATATTGTGGCACTTAATGTTCATAAGTGTCAAGGGCTAAGATGGTAGGGCCCTTTTTTACAGCCCAAAATTAGACAGAGGAGACTTTTCTAAGGAAGGGCCTCTGTAGAGGAAACCTGGATGGAGCACTGATGAAAAAGGTCATGCTGTCATTCTCATCAGGCTCTTTGCACTGCCCCTGTCCCCTCTGCCTGGAAGAGAAAAGAGTTATAGATAGCAGGGAGCAATCTGTGGATCATGAAATTAATTTTTAAGTAGCATTCTGTTTTTAAAATGTATGTATATGTATAACAAAATATCAAGAGTATACAGTACACAGTAAAGGTAAATATGACATAAAATGTATATATCATTACATACATATTCACAAATAGCGATTTCCTACTGTAGACCATGGTCGAAATATCCTAAAGATCTTTTGTTTAAAATAAGTGGGAATGCTGTCACACTATTATCTTGACCTGCTCATATATGATTGCATTTTCAATTACTAAATATTTAGAGAAATGGAAAAGAACAACAACATGGTTCAAGTTGAGAAATGACTAGATTTTTCCTTTTTTTTTTTTTTTTTTTTTGGTGCGAGAGAACTCAGGATGTTGCGCTTGTCAGTCTGGCACTTATGCCATTGAGCTATCTCCCTGGCCCCTGGACTAGATTTTTCAAGACCTTATAAGATAAATGGAAAATGAACAGTGTTAGACATTATTGGGTCACCATTTTATCATGAGTAAATATGAAAGGACTTAGGGAACTAGGATTGAATAAGGGCTTTTTGACAAATGCTGTATTCCTTTAATGAACATTTAATATATTTTCATCTGAAATTAGCTTCAATAATGCCTCGAGTTAGTATGAGCAGTAGATGAGTTTATCTGTGTTATATATGCATTCAGTATGTTTCAGTGACTTTAGTTTTCCTTCACCTCTTTTTTTTTTTCTACTTCTTTAGACCCCATACCCTGAAAAAACGATGCCTTGTTTTGATGATAATGTTAGCTATAAATTTCAGAATAAATAAGAATTATATTCAATCTCTGGTAGTGCAAAAAAAAAAAAAAAAAAAAGCTATAGCTAACTTAGTTTCTTTATATTTGAGAAGAAGATACTAACTGCTCTAATTTTTTTAAATGCCAAGCTGTCTCTATAGAAGAATAGGATGGTGACATAACTCTGAAATTATGAGGTTATATCTTAATTTTAGAATAAATCAACATAGAATTTTTTAATCTTCTCCTGTCCTTTTGTCTAGTCACACGGGATTGTTTTCAAGGTAGAGAATACCAACGGGGGTAACATTTCCACTTATTTCTGCTAATTTGCCTCCCTCCTTTAGATTCCATCACCCAATCCTCAGTCCTTTGGAGAGCAGTTTCCAGCTGGAAGTCGATGTCTTAAGTCATCTCCTCAAGGCCCAGGCTCAGGTCTCCGAGTGGAAGTTTCTCCCTTCCCTGGTGAACTTGCACAGTGCTCACACCAAGTTGCAGACCTGGGGCCAAATCTTTGAAAAGCAGCGAGAGACCAAGAAGCATCTGTTTGGAGGACAATCACAGAAGGCTGTTCAACCCCCACACCTTTTCCTTTGGCTGATGAAACTCAAAAACATGCTCTTGGCCAAGTTTAGCTTTTACTTTCATGAGGCACTGAGCCGACAAACTACTGCTTCAGAAATGAAAGCGTTGACTGCAAAAGCTAACCCAGACCTTTTTGGAAAGATTTCCAGCTTCATCAGGAAATACGATGCTGCCAATGTGTCCTTAATTTTTGACAACCAAGGTTCAGAGAGTTTTCAAGGTCATGGCTATCATCACCCCCATTCCTACAGAGAGGCCCCTAAGGGCGTGGACCAGTATCCAGCTGTGGTGTCTCTGCCCAGCGATAGGCCTGTCATGCACTGGCCTAATGTCATCATGATCATGACAGACCGCACCTCTGACCTGAATAGCTTGGAGAAAGTGGTCCACTTCTATGATGACAAAGTTCAGAGCACCTACTTCCTAACCCGCCCAGAACCTCACTTTACTATTGTGGTCATTTTTGAGTCAAAGAAATCTGAGAGAGATTCCCACTTCATTTCTTTCCTCAATGAGCTCTCACTTGCTCTAAAGAATCCCAAAGTTTTTGCAAGTCTAAAACCTGGATCCAAAGGTTAGCAGATGACTTGTGTGAAAGATTCTTAAGACTAGAAATTGTTGTTTTTAATTACTGTGATATCTACAGTGGTCTGTGACTAGAATTTATATCCATTCATGCTTATTTCAGAGCTAAATTAAAAACAAATCCTTCCTAATTGTGTTGCACACTATAAGTAATTAAGGCCAATTGAGTTAAATATCCAAAGAGTAATCTAGGAAATGATCATGGGTTGTTGTGTGTATGCATGGGAGAGCAACATAGTTTTGGTATTTTTTCTATATTTCATTAAGATTCTGTGTAGTAGTCTTTGATTTTTACTTCCAGATGTCTTTATTATTCTAAATATTATGTTTCAATGCATTTCCAAATATCCCTCTCTTCTTCCCTTTCCTGGAAGAGTAATTGGGATAAGACATTAAATGAGTATGCTCTGTGTCTCATAAATTAGCCAATCAACCAGGAGCTTTTTAATTCTGGTATACAAATTAATATTTTGGTGTCACAGGCTCTTTGTAAGAAATACCTATTAGTTACTGAAGTTAAAGGTAGGTGAGTGGTACCATAATGTCAACTTGTAAACATTGAAAGAACTTCATGCAGCTTCAATGGTTGTAGGTTCTTTTAGAGTAAAAGAACTAATACATGTGTCTACTGTTACAAGGTTTGAGTTTTTCAGTATCTGCATTCTTTAGTGTATTATCTCGTTTACTTTTTGTTTATCCCTCCCCTGCTGAAATTATGTTCATGTTTGGTTCCACTGGCTATTTTTAGGCTTACAAAGCATTTAGTCTTGGTTTTTCAGCCACTTGTAGTTTGTCACACAACAGAGCCTGCTTTTATAAAATCAAAATGAAGGTCTTTTGATACCTAGCACTTACTAAAAATCAGTTGTGCTTTGAAAAGACCTCTTTGCAGCTGAGTAATCAACTCAGTACCTATGCACTTTTGAACTTGGGTTTCATGTTTGCCTCTTACAAATTATGCTCATAAGCAGTGCTGCACCTTAGCCTGCCTTATCATTTTGCTCTGGTAGGTGTTCATGGGAAAGTAGGTACATCAGTGAAGGAACAATACATTGTGGGACTTTCACTTCTTTTACTGGTCAGAGTATCACAAGAATATCTGGATTGTTCCTGCTTGATGGTTCCTTCAAAGCTTGTGTGAAATGTAAAGGTCAGATCAGTCTTGTCTTTCAAGATCCCGCAGAGCCATTGTTCAGGCATCCAAAGTAGGCACAGGAGGGCTATCCGCAGAGCTGAGACCAAGTGTGGGAGGCCTGCCCTCTTCACCTAGACTACCTGTCCACAAACCCACTGGCCTCTTTTCTGGGGAGAATGTGTTTTTCTTTTTTTTTTATTTCTCATTCTCTCTTTTCATCATATTATTTGTAAAAAGCCAGTTTTACTTTGATTGTAATGTTTACCTCTACATTGTATTCACTGAAGTTTTATAAAAATATGAATAGATTTTTACATTAATCTAATATAAAATTGAAAGCAGTTGGAACTGGAGAGTCAAGTAGTTTTTCCTCCTTTTTGTGTTTGTCAAGAAACTGAAAATGTTCCTTGGTGTGCATGTATCTTTGTTTCCTAGGTAAACCACCGTTAGCCTTAATGATAGAGTCCCCATGTAACTAAAAAAATATATGTTTCAATAGAGCACAGAGAGAAGTGTAAATAAAACCTATATACAATACTTAAGTAGACAAATATATACATATTTGAATTGTATATTTATTTTAAATGTATTTTTAAACAAACAAGAGTTTACAACAGACAGAAGGTAGATATAACTATTAAAATCTAAGAATATAAATTCACAAGTCACTGCAGCTGTCTTAGACTGTATTGATGGAGCCTTTGAAGATTAAATATTGATACTTTAATCATTTGTTAAGCTCTTCAATAAAGTTTTCTAATTATATTAAAAAGACGTATTTTGGTTCAAACACAAAGCCATTTTTATTCTAAGATTTATCCTCTGAACAGTAATGAGATGATGTGTAATCCCTGTGTTTAACTAATTTGAAGAGTAAATCTGTACATTTTTTACAGACTGCCTACTTTGAAATTTGTTTCTAAACTATGGCCTGGTAAATGTGGTTGAGTGGGAGTAGCAGTCAACACTGAGCTTGCCAGAATTCTCCAAAGGGTGTTGACTTCAGGGTGTTGTCTGGACACAGGATGAACATTTACAACTTTGTTTCCTCTGCATCAACCCTGGTATCTGCTATGTTATTTTGGGAGGAGTGTGTGAAAAATAAAGCCAATTCTTCACTGAGGAGTCAACTGATTTGTACATTTGGACATAGTGGGGAAGTTCGCTTTCAAGAAAAAACAATTGTACGTCACTGTACTCCCCATGGAATCACTTAGGTGATCATTACAGTATGTCCTCACTGATCTAGTAGCAATTTAGCCTCTGAGTTCAGTATTGCTGTCCATCAAATGGGGACGCAAAAGCATGGGCTGCCTTGTGCAAAGTCTACTACAAGCATGTAATAAAATCATGCCTACAAAAAAATGGTTTGAAAACTTGCTGGGGTTTGAAAGCTGTATAAATAAAAGATGAAGCCACTCTTCCCTTTAAACTTGACACCTCTTCTCTTCTATTTCATGTCTCTGGCAAAGCTGTACTTAGTCATAAATTCTAATAGTTCTTTTTTTTTTTTTTGGCAGAACCGGGGATTGAACTCAGATCCTTGTGTTTGCCAGTCAAGCACTTATCCTACTGAGCCATCTCCCTGGCCCCCTTGAATAGTTCTTAAAGAACTAGTTTAGAAGATATGTTCAAAGGCTTAACATACCCACCCATTCTTCCTGTTTTAGAATCTTCATTCCCGAGTTCTTATGATTGGTTGATAGCATCATTTCAGCCGTCCTTTATTACTGATTTTATTGTTTTGTTTGTTTGTTAATTTTTTGAGGCAGGATCACACTATGTGATCCAGACCAGCCTTGAATTCACTGTGTAGCTCAGATAGGCCTTGGAGTCCAGATGCTTCTGCCGTGGCCTTCATCCTGCCTAGCTTAATATTTCCCTCTGACTGCTGTATCAGAGGTAAAGGAGCATGTTAACATCTCCAGCTGTGACTTGATACTATATCACTAGTGTTACAAACTGGTGATACTCTAATTACATTTTTCCTTTTTTACTTGGCAGAATATATCTACAAAGAATAGCTTCAGCTCCCAACTGTTTGGTTACTTCCAATTATAGTTCAAAGGAAAGCTAGATAACAGTTGTGTTTTGGTTTTTTTTCAAATAGCACTTTCTAGACACTGAAGAATTTTTAAAGAAATACTATATGCTTGAATTTATAAGGATTTTTGCCTCTTAACCTTGAATTTGAAGCCACCATTTTCCTCTTTACCACATACTATTTACATATTACATACAAATATATAAATAGTATGATCTTTCTCTATTTCTTCCTGGTTGATTTTGCATTCCTTACTGTCAACTGTTTTTTCCTCCTCTGGTCCTCTCCTCTTTTTCTCTTCCTGCTTTCCTTAGGTTTTTTTCCTTTTTTTTTTTTTTTTCAAATGTATTTGGTATAGGGTATCACTACACAGCTCAGACTCATAGTGAGCCTCCTGTTTTCAGCCTCCCCAGTACTGGAATTATAGGCGTGCACCACCATGCCTGGACTAGGTGACTGGCTCAGTGTGCTCAGGGGGCAGAGCCAGTGTGACATTTGGTGCCAGGAATCAAACCTGGTCCCTGCACTTGCCTAAGCAGGTGCGTGGTCCACTGAGCTATCTCGCTTGCCCTTTCTTAATTTTTGATACCTTCCTCATCAGTTTCAATTTTGTTACTTCCCCCAGTCTCAGGAGCTAAACCACGCCCCACTGGCTCCATCCAGTTTTGGGAACTGGCATTTAAATGTATTCATTTCATTATTTTTACAACCAGTTAGTCTTTCGGGCACGAGGGTAGAAATAATGCAGGGATATAAGGGGAAGGGTTAATAGTGACAGCATGAAATGACCACAGGAAGCCAAGCCACCTCACGGCACGTAGGACTTCTAGTCTTCTAGTCGGCTACACCCAGCCAGTGTTGTTTGTATATAGCAGACAGCTTGGTGGGGTACTCCCCCTCCAAAAAAAAAAAAAAAAAAAAAGGCTTTGAAACTAAAGTCTTTCCAGATGTATTTTTAATATGTAATGCTTTTGTTAAATAAAAGCTCATTCTTAGTCTGTAAAAGCATTAAATTAGCCTTTTTTTTTCTTTAAAAATGTAAGAAAATAGATTTTTTGAGAGAGAGAAAGAGAGCACCTTGTGACTTCCTAAGAAAGCTCCGTAGCTAGGAGGACAGTATGTACTGTGTTAATTATTGGAACTGTCCTACCAGTTTGATTTGAAACTGTCTCATTGCTATTTATTTCTCAATAAAATTATGGGAAAAAAAAATCTCTGTAGGTAAAGTTTAATTTAGCAAGTCCTTCCCTACTTTTCTACAAGGTTCCTGTTACCAGTGCAGTTATCTCATGGCCTTTTGCCTGAATTATTCTAAACAGTTTCTCTAGGGGAAATAAGTCAGAAAAATAGGCCTGAGGTATACATGAGCCTTTGGAGACTTATCTTACTATCATGTAAATCCATAAGGATTCATTAATACAGTGTTTTGACTTGTCTGCATATTTTTTCAATATGTTTTCTATACAAGGTCTGTTTCTGGGAGTCTTTAAATTCTAAACCATATGGTCTTTTTAAGATGACAATGCTAGAAAATGGAGAGAGGCAATGAACTTTCCTTTCTGCAGCCCCTACCTAGTAAAATCTGTGGGTGGGGTCTTGGCTACAGTGTAACTCAAGGATGGTCCTGAGAGATACCTGCATTGAAGCAAATTCTGATGGAGCTCTTTTCTGTGCAGTGGTGGCAGTTAAAAAAAAAAAAAAATTGTAGGTGACACTTGACATTGGTCTAGGAGGGGAAGATAGTCATCGGGACTTTTGCTGACTTTGTCCTTAGGGGTAATTCTGCTTTTGCTAATCTGGAAACTGCAGAGTAATTTTGGAATGCTGCTGAATTTGAAAATCTGATGACTGTTTTGATTGCAGATTTATAATGACTCAACTGGTTGACCTTCTAGGTTATGTCAAGGCTCATTTCATTTCTGGTGTAACAAGATACGGCATTGTGGGACACCTCTTAACCTTTAGGGTCATCCTGGCCTCAGTCACTTGAGGCTGAACCAGTGTTTGAGCTATCCCACAAGTGGAAGCAAAGAGAGGAAATGCATATTTCCTTTCTAATAGCATTCATTTAACAACTATTAAGCTGGGCGTGGTTGGTACACACGTGTCAACAGCTATTCTAAAGGCTGAGGCAATAAGATCTCCAAATTCTAGCCCAGTCTGGGCAATTTACTGTGGTCTTGTCTCATACATGCACACATATGTATATGCAAATTATCTTCTAATACACCTTACTAAACTTTACAGGTGAGATGTGAGATTGTATGTGGGAGAAAGATAGTTATTAAAGGGAAAATTGACAAGAGCCCATGAATAGCACCTTTACAGACAAGCCCATTTTAGGAAACTGGTGATACCTAAGTTGATTATCTAAAATCCAAGGATTCAAGTTTTTGTTTTGTTTTCCTGTACTGTGAATTGAATGCAGGACCTTTACAATGAACTATATCCCCCTAGCCCATTTTCATTTTTGAGATGGTGTCACAAAATTGCCTAGGCTGGCCTAGAACATGCCAGCCCTCTGCTTCAGCCTCCCAGACTGCCAGGATCACAGTATGTACTATCATGCCTTGCTGGATTCTAGTTTTGAAGTTCACTATTAAAAGGACCTGGAGTGAACCTGGACTGCTGGTCTCTGGAGTTGTCACATCAGTGCCGCTTTGGGTTATGATGCCCTGCTTCCATGCTCCTGAACTTCCAGACGAGTCTACTCTTGAGATGGTGATGCTACCTTATGTTCATCCTCTGTGCATGCTGACTGCACAGAAAGGAATGATGGGGGAAAGCCCAGGCATGATCAGTGTTTTAAATTTCAGTGCCAAGATGAGCCAAAGATGAGGTGTTTGCTTAACTGAAAAGAAAAAAGACTATATAAAGGTAAAAAATTAAATATAACCATCATTTCCCTGTAGCTTACTTTCTGCCAACATAAGGAAGTACAAGATAGATATGGGATTAGCTGTCAGAACCAAAAAAACGAAAAGTGGGGAAGGAAGTCAACATGGGAGTAGGAAGAGAAGTGCTAAGGCTGTGGGAGCTAAAGATACTCTGCTGTACTGGTCAGTTTACGGCCTTAGAACGCAAGCACACAAGACCCTTTCCTTCTGGTGCTTTCCTATGAGACGAGGACAGCTGTGCCACCCTGAACGTGCCCGATCTCGTCCTATGAGACGAGGGTAAGGAGCTCCTCACTGGGGAACTTCATCTCCTCTGGTCTTCGATATGTGAGAACCAGTCAGTTCTAGCTCTCAGCTTAGCCACAACCACCAGCCCTACGTCCATAACCTTATTGTGAACAGCACTGTATACAGCCTGACCAGTGTAATTACTTTTAATTTTAAAACATCAGGTGTTATGTCCCTGTTGCATTCTTTGGATACAATTTTTTAAAATTTCTCTTCTTTAAGTACTTAAAATTGAACACAGAGACTTCACACTGAGCTACATACATTCCCACTGAGTTGCAGTTCTGTCCCTTTTAATGTTTATAGTTTTAGATTTTAAGACAGTCTTGCTAAGTCACTAAAGTGCCCAAACTGAGCTCAAATTTGAGATCCTCCTGCTTTAACCTCTAGGGATGCTGGGATTACAGACTGCACCACCATTAACTTTCTAATATCTTGGCACCCTCTGCTTATTCAATATCATGTCATATATAGCATATTAAAAGCATCTGTTAAGAATATATGCAGTGTGTTATTTGTTGAAACTGTACTTCCGATTTGATTTGAAACTGTCTCATCGCTATCTGTTTATCAATAAAATTTTGGAAAAAAAAAGCATCTGTTGTCATAATTATATGTTGTTGGCAAATATCTGGTGATCACAGTGGACTATAGTAATTAATGCTG